CACAGTAGCCCTCTCTATGTTTTACCCAACTCAGCAAATCACTTCAATTGCTGAGCAAAGGATCTGATCTGGGAGAGCCTGGGCTCATGCAGAGACATAGGACAGACCAGAAAGATCTCGGGCACAGGTTGTTAGTGCTCAGTGAGATAGACTGTAAACCCAGCAGCTGGCACATCCAACGAGTAGGAGATAATTTCTGACTTCTTCAACTCCAGCTGCAATTGAAAGCCAAGTGGAAAAGCCGGACAGGATGTGCTGTGAGGCAGACAGGCAGCCTTAAAAATGGGGAAAACTTTAATTAGCTCTTGACTGGGCTAAATGTGCCAGAAAAGTAAAAAGGAAGGGTCGTGTTCTCTAGAGGTAGAACAAGGTTAGTTCTTGTCTGATGTTTTTAATGGGTCAACAGACACTCAATAGAACAATCTCTTCCACTCCTCTCCATGCCCCCTTAAGCCTTTGAAAACGTACTTTATAAAAATTAAAGCTGGTTTCTGCTGGTGGGGAAGCTCTTACTGCAATCAATTCAGAACACTTGAGGTAGCAAACTTGAAATCTCTTGGAACCACCGAGGATATGATGTGCAGGGGGCATAGTGTACCACTAGGAGGCAGTATCACAACCAGAGAGTGAGGGCTGAGATTACAAGGATGCTCATTTCAGCCTAAATTGGAGATCACATCCCTGGCTTTTCCCTGGTTCAAAACAAAAAAACACAACAAAACAAAAAACCAGGCGCAGCTGAATGAGACTTTAAAGGCATTTTACCCAGCTCCTTTGAGAAACTAAAAATTTTCACGTACATGTGCGCTACAAACACACGTACCCACACGCACCCGCCCCAGTCACTTGCCAAATAATACAATCTGCTTCTTTCATTCAAAAGGTGATCTTTTTCTGTGGACGTTTGGCTGCATTTTTGAGAGGGAAATTCCCCACCAAATAAATTTCAGGCTCACAGTTCAGTTGCTCTCTGGAGAAAATTGCTGGAAGATGCGTAGGAAACTTGAAGTTAACTGAAGCTCTGTCAAGGTGAGAACGTCTACGCTTCACTTGCCAAGGTCATGAATCTTTCTTTAATTGGATGGCTGCCTGAAGCACCAGCGAGCTTCTACCCTGGAGTGGTTGTCTCTTATTCTTATTCATGCCTTTCTCACATACCACAGATGGCAGTTTCCTTCCTTTCAGCCCATGGTACCCCATACCTGCTTCAAAGAATCTGTGACTAAACAACGCCATTACTCATTTGCCTGTACTGTCAGCACTATATTCTGGAAAGAGCATCTTATATTTGAATTATCAGTGACTAGCACAATGCCTGACATGTGGTAGGAACACACGGTTGAATGTTGGTTGAATGAATGAATGAGTGAGTGAATGTCTTATTCATCTTTGCATCCTATGCACAGTGTTCAAATGTTTTAAGTACACTGTAAATTCGTGTCACATACATCTTTTTTCAGAGCATAGGTGGTGACCCAGCTTTCTAAATTAGGCTATCTTATGACTAGGCCCTTTGAAATGTTCAGAAGCCACCTACAGTTTTGTGACCTTGGGTGTGTGTTTGAAACCCTTCCATTTCCTTTAGAAAGCTTGGAAGGGAACTTGGATATTAAAGAGACGAACGTGGGTTCCCGCATCCCTCCACCTCCCCACAGGCCCTGGGGGCTCTTGGTGTGGGTTTGCTCCCCATAGCTTTCTTGAGCCTGTCTCAGGGGAGGGGAAACTGAGGGGCAGTGAGGCATTCAACTGGTGGCCTTGGAGTAGGCTTTCCATGACAGGGGAAGAGGCCACAATGGAGGACCAGGAACTGTGAGCATAACCCAGCTCATACTGTGAAAGACAAGCAGCTCACCTTACCCAGCTCCTGTAACACGTAACAATTCCTCACACACAACTGAGAAGTGTTCTCATCTATCCCTTCACCCTTACAAAGGCCCCTCAGCAGATTCAGTGCCACTCCTTAAGCTGGCAGCTGGCAAAGTAAAAGCAGCAAGATCTTCCTGTGACGGCATGGCCACCAAATACCATGAAATGTCCTTTATCTATAATCTGTTGGCAATGGAATCATCAAAACAAATGAGAGCAGTTATTTTCCCAGTAGTAACAAAACAGATTATAACTTCAAAGACTCAATGTGCTTCATCTGGAAAGAAGTGAAGGGCATAATTAAAGTCCTTGGGCTCCCTGTCGATGGCTCTGTGATGGCTTCTAGCTCCTTCGGGCCTCAGTGTCTTTGTTTAGGCAACTAACTCCAGGTTGAGAGCAGCTCAGGGAAGGGACCCGGCCTCCTTCTTCTTTGTGTCCCTGGAGCCCCGTGCAATACGAGTAACACAGTAACCAGTCAACCTATGTCTGTCCAGTGAGAGGGGAGCATAAACACATCCACCAAATTCTAGAATGCTAACCAAGGGAGTGTCCCTTTGCAACCTGGAGGAGACAGTTCTCTGATGAATAAAAGGGAAGGGGACTTCACATGGCATCTAGCCACTCCTGTAGCAAGTACTGCCTGACTCCTCTTCGAGTCCACTCTAGGCTGGCAACACTCCCAGGGCACCACAGGGATGAAGTGACAAAGCCTGGAAACCAGGCCTTGGGGTTCAGCTCAGCCACAGACTAACTGGATGACCTTGGGCATATTCCTTAACCTGTCTGGGCTTCAATTTCCTCATTGGAACAAAAGGTAAACTGGTTTCCAGTTCTAACTAATATTCTATTGTCTTCTGATTCAAGGAAGTATATACCAAATGGAAAAGGAAGATTTAAGAAGAGTTCAGAAAAACATGTAGATGGGCCATCTACATAATGACAACTGCTATGCTATTTCACAAACCTTCTCTGGGGCTGGCGGGAACGTTGGACAGGCCCTAAGTGGCCATCGTCATGTTAGAGGTACACATCGTCCTAAGATGAAAAGGTTTGTAGGGCCTCACCAGCGTGATTGACAAAGCAAAGTAAGGCCATCTCCTGGGGAGGAAAACCTCTCAATATGGCCTCCTGGCTCTCTGCTGCCTCCCAGCTCCAGTGTGGCTTTAACTGCACTTGCAGGTGGAGCCTTTCATCTTGTAAACTACCTTCGGAGCCAGTGCATGCCCCAGGCATGCTTTATTAGAGAGGACCAGCAGTAATCATCCTGGGAGGAGTCGGAGAGATAAAAACTGGGCTGGGGAAGGATGGTGTGACCAGATTTGGCGCAGCAGGATTGCGCTAGCCATGGCTTTAAAATGGGGAGTGGAAGCGTGGCCTTCCCTGTGCGTTCCTTAGAGAGCTACACAAAGAAGGTGTCCCTAGTCTTGGATGCAAAGCTAACCCAGGCAGGAATCACAATAAGCCATTATGTGAGCCAACCTAGTAGAAAAGACGTAGAATGCCCTTTCTTTTGCTTCCTGTTTAATTCCACCTGAGCAGAATCTCAGGGTGGCGTGGGAGTGATGAAGAGTGAGGCCAGCTTCGCATGGTCGCTGAGCCTGCAGGCTCTGGGCCAGTCACTGCTGCACCAGTTCGCCGGGTCACGAAGTCAGCTGGCCCATGTCTGCATAGTTTGGTCACCCCTTCCTAACCCCAAAACTACCACTTAGGCATCGCTTCCCTTCTCTTCCCTTTCATGATTCCAGGGACTCACAGCACTTGGCTTTCTCTGCATCGTGAACACTCACAGGGAAAGGCTGTCATATGACTCATCCCTCTCTCATTCTACAGGCTTTCCCTCAGAATCCCTCGACAAAGCAGACGGGAGGCTGAGGATGCTGATGAACCCAACTTCTGCCTCAGCCAAGAATCAGGAGTGTTTGTGAAACAACCAGGCCCAGGGAGGTGACACGTAAAGGAGAGGACTTTAGATTCAGGAGACCCAGGTTGAGTTGCGGTTGCATGACCAGGTGATTCCAGAACATTCTCGGTCTCCAGTTCACTATCTGGGGAAGGATCCCCAAACCAGTCATCTTTGCCTTGTGCTGCACGGAGCAAACGAAATAGTGTGCACAGGAGTGATTTGAATAACAGCACAGCCCTCTACCAACGCTTGTTCAATTGGTGCTTTCTCCAAAATGCACACAAAAACGGAATGTCAGTGTATTAATTATTTCAGGGGGGTCTGGTTCTCCTCTTGACATTGGATGATGGTGGGAGAGATAAAGGGGAGGTGGCAGGAGAGGCAGGGCAGGCAGGACGGACTTCCTCTTCCCTGGATGGAAATGTCTTATGACCTTGGAGCCTGGGCAGGGTATGACAGATGCATGGGCTACACTCACTGGTGCTTTCCAGCAAGGGAGACGGAATGATTTTTGCAAAGTTTTGCTCATTTGGTTCCCCAATAAACATAACGAAACAATCAGAATGATCCCAAACAGAATGTGAGCCAGTGAGCACCTTTTGTGGGAATGATGTCAGACACATATAATATTTTTTTAGTTTTTTTTTTTTAGCTGAGCCATCCTGCCACCTGTTGGCAGCTCAGCAGCAGCTCAGCTCAGGCTGGGAATTAAACCGGTGACCCTGTTGCTCAGAGCTCTCACTCTTGAGTGAACTCTTAACCAACTGAGCCACTTGGCTGGCCCCAGACACATATAATTTAAAGGTGTCTCCTGTGCCTAGGGCAGTGCCAGACACATAGTGGCCACTTGATACATATTTATTTGATAAATGAATAGCTGATGAGTGAATGAACTTGTTTCTGGTGGTTGCTGCAACCCTTTCAATGTGATTAAACATATACTGGTTCATTTAGCAAGTCACAAGGAGAACCTACTCCTTATTTTATAACGCCTCATACAGAAAGAATGTGTTTCAAACCACACCACCCAGCTGGTCTGACTGTCCCAGAAGCTTCTTGGGTTTAAAATGCTCAGATTTGCCATGGAAACTCATCCATAGCTCATGTACAATTTCCTGATGGCAGTTCACTGAAACATAAGGAAGAAGAGACTAGCACACAAATTCAGTCATCAGCCTAGTAATTGATTAAAATCACTAGAAATCAAACATGTTTTAGAATTTCTGAAAGGTCAGTTAAGCCACATGTGTTTATTAGAAAGTTGTTTTTCCATGATGAAGTGTGGAGGACCCAAACCTTAATTTTTCGCGAACTTTCCACTGTGCCCTTACATGGTAGAAAGTTCGTGAACTTAATTGTCCAACCTTCATATGAGTGTGTGGTTTGCATAAACTAGATCTGACCCAATTTTAGTTTTCTGTGTCTAACACTTTCCTAGCTATTTATTTCAACTCAACAACTGTGGGTTGAACAAATTCCAATGTGCCTAGCCCTGTGTTGGATGCTTGTGGGGGAGCACTGCAATCTTTTTATTGACTCAGGAATAATAAGAAAATTTATCATCAGCTAAAGTATTCAACAACAGCAGGTGAAAGGCAAGGTTCAGATGACATATTGGTTGTGACCCCAAAAGGACCGTAATTTATTCAGTAATTACACATGACTGGAAGCCCTGCTGTCAGATGAACCTTCTTACGCATACCAAACAGATGCCAAGGCATTTATTGAGTGGAAGGATTGCCTAACAGTAGCTATTTAGTGTGATAATGGCGTTTGATAGTTTGGACACAAACACCATTGTCACACTCCACAGCTCTGCTAAGGAATATCTGTAGCTGTGAAGGTGTTACCTTCACCTCCCCACTCCACCACGGCCAATGATGATCAGGGAGGCTCGCCAGCTCCATATAATGACCTGAGCAGAGAAAACAGGGATCAAAGGGCGGGAGCATTTTCAACAATGGAAAGAGAGAAAGACTTATAGGCTTCTGTGTTCTAAAACAGTTAAACTAATAAAGGGACTCACTGAGCCTTAGGTCCTGTTACCCTCCCGCAAAGGCCTCCCGCCCACAGGAAGGAAGACTTCCTGTGGAAATGGATGAGAAATCTGTTTGCATCAATTTTCTAAAAGGGCTAAGAGAGAAGGAATCTCTCGAGGGAACTGATTTTAGGAAATAAGTACTTAGTGGCAGACCACATTATAAGCCATAATAAGACTGAATAAATGGACCCTCCCCTACTCACACCTCACCACACATCCCAATTCATCAAAGGTAAATGTGATAAAGTCTACCGTCTAAGGAAATGAAAATTATTTTTCATGGGGATATAGCTAGCATTTAGATGGGCTGTAATCTACTCTCAGTAACAACAATTGGATCCAGAAGCATCCAGATTTTAAATCTTATTCACCACAGTCATTTCCCACCATCGTAGTGGGTGGGAGATGAGGAAAAGAAAGAAAATGGAAAGAGGAACTATTCAATTTTTCATGAATAATACTCATTTTCAAGCAAAAGGGAGCCTTCTGTGACTGAATCCCTCTGGCTTTCTGGGTTTCCCGTTGGAAATGGTTTCTAAGTGATACATGGATTCCTGCCCACAATGGAGAATGAGAGGAAATAAACATTTTACATAATCCTTTGTTTTCTTCCAAATGCTGGAAAAGGAGAGGGTTGAGGGCCAGTTGGTTTTTTACCCCAGGATAACTGAGTTAACATTTGATCAGAGTCTGTTTTGGCCATAAAATTGGCCCATTCTTAACAACTGAAAATAAACCCTTCTATGGTTTTCAGTAAAACTGCCCTATTCTATGCAGACCATGAAATCACCTTCTTCAACCTAAGACTGCAGTTATTAGCATACTATGAAAGTCACTCTGTCCCCACAGGATTGGAGCATTGAGCCCTGCCTTTTTTTGCTTTTCAGTTTTATGGAGATATCATTGATACATGCAAATAACATTGGATTTGCTTTGGATGTATCACCTCAGCCTTTTTTTTTTTTTCTTTCCTTTTTGATTGTGCTGATTTGCTTATCTTCCTATTAAGTGACTGACTTCCTTTGGCTCCTGTCTGTGACCCTGGCTTGCCTTTACTGGGCGCGGCCATTTGCAAGGCAGCAGGGAAGTGCTACCTGGCCCACTGTCAGCCCTGCTCTCCTCAGGTGGAACTCTCCACCTGGGCACTTTTGCTGCAACTCACTCTGAATACAAACTGTAGAGTTCCAGCTGGCCCCAAACGCTACCACCAACCCTCAGCACTCTGGGTGCAGCCATGGTGGACACACACATGTGATTAACTAGTTCTGATTATTCCCGGCCCTTCTACTCCTAACACCTTAGCCAGGCTCACCTGCTTTGTCTTTGCCTGAGGGACCTAGAATAGAAACCACTTCCTGGCCACTCAAGGGTCATTGCTGACCATGGCGTGAGGCTCCAGGAACCTCTTGGTTCATTTGTGAAGAAGCAATGGGAGGTGAACGATTCACTAGTTTAAAAGGTCCTGGTGGGATGTGCTTGGAGGGCTCTAGGTGGGCCAAGGGTTTGGGCCCATTTTGCTTCTCAGGACCTTAACGCAGCCTCTGAGACCCCTTCACTTCCCTGGGTGAGCTCTGTATGCTTCAGGCTTTTAATCATCTGCGAAAGACAGAAAAAGGAAGGAAGAGTAAACAGGGAAGAAGAAAAGAGAGGAGGGAGTTAATGCATTACAGGTAAATCTTTCCAAACTCCTCCCCCAAATAAACCTCTATTTCTTTCTTTCTTTCTTTCTTTCTTTTTTTGGTCCAGGAAATTTATCTCAAGGAAAAAGTCCTTGAATTTGTAGAAGAGATTTTCTTTTCCACAAAAGATTTTCTTTTCCACAAATTTGTAGAAAGTGTTACCTATAAGGCTGTCCATGAAAGCATTGTTTATAATAGTAAAAACCGCAAACAACCTAAATGTCCAATTATAAGAAAAGGTAATATATTTATGATACACCCTAGTCACTGGATATTGTAGAAAAATGGTTGTTGACTTGGCAAGAGATTCAAGATATGTTATTGAAATGAAGCGGTTTACAAAACAATATACACAGTATGAGCCCTTTTTACTGTGAAAAGTGCATATATGCCAGGGGCAAAAACATCGAACATTAACCATAGTTATCTTTGAGTGGTGGGTGGAATTAGGGTTTCCTTTTATTCCTCCTTTTGTGTCTCTGTTTTTATTAATTTCTAATTTCATGCCGTGCTTTTGTGCTGAGAAAAATAATTAGAATTTAAGCAATTTTTAAAGTTTCTTTGTGTGTTGGATTCCTAATAAAAATTCCTTCTTGCAAAAACGCTCTTCTGAAATTGAGAGGTTAAAACTTCTCCTATTTTTACACTGCTTGTCAACAAGCTTGAAAAGTTAGGGCTAATGCTGAGAGATGGGCCTCGGGCTAATTTCTTAGCAAATTACTAGTGAAATACTTCATTGTGCAGTACAATAATTTTATGGTATTATTGCATCAATCAATAAACACATGTTTATTGCATGCCTATTATGTTCTCAGCCTTGTGCACCATTTTTAAACATAGCTATAACGGACCTCATCTTTTATTACTTCTTTGATCGTTTCTGTAGGCGCTGTTCAACTCTGTCAACTGTCAACCTGCAAAGCACTTTAAACAAGCAAGCAGAATGTTTTCATTTTTTTTCAAAGGTCATCCAATAATATGTTACTAACGAAAACCATTAGAAGTGGTTAATGCCAGCATGTACTTGGATATTTTTCTTAAATTCACAAGGTTATTTCTCATTCTATAGGTGTAAAAAAATCTTTTGTTCTAGTATGTTTAAATTTAACAACTGAACTTCAATAGTGCCAGTGAATAATTACAGAAAGTGTATATAAGATGGTTGGGAAATAATTACACCTGTGATTTCCTGTGAAAAAATTCATGCTGACAGCAAAGATGTTGGATATTAATCGGGGTGACATGTTCAAGTGCCAGCGCAGTTCTCTACAGCTCAGAAAAGGCCTAGAAAGTTCCTACGGAGCTTCTCTCCACTGATCTCAGCCACATTCATCCCCCACCATCTCTCTCTGTGCCTTGCTTCCCAAAATTTCCTGAGAGAAATCCAGGGCTAGGCATGTCTAAATGGCTGTCTATTTAAATGAAAATTTTGTGCTGTGTCCCTGTCCTCTGTTCCTCACCTTCCCAGCCTGAACTGACTCTCTAAGACATTTCTAATTGCTGTGCTCAATTCAGATTGCAGTCTTCCCACTGAGCCCATGGGTATGAAAACAGGAAGGGCTGGGTTTGCCCCTCTTTTTATGTCATGGGGAGGGGGAGTTCATCAAGGAGGGAGCCTTGACAAAGCCTAACCCTCTAGCAAATTCTTCAACCTGTAAGTATTCTGTGTGCATCACAGCTCCATGTAAGATGTCTTTGATTTGCAAGTACCAGGGATATCTCTAAGCTTCCTATTTCTTTCTTAGATCAGATCTGGGCACGAGCAGCTTGTCTTTGCTTCCATATTTTGTTTTCCAGGGGTTGAGAACATTCTAGGGGCAACCCCAGAGGACTGAGAAAAGAGTGCTTTGGGGAGCAGGAATTGTTATCTTGCTGCAAACCTAGTCCATCAGCACCAAAAAAAAAAAAAGAGAAAGAAATGCTTTTTCCTAACTCCATATTTTCTGTCATTTTGAATAGATGTGTTCAATGCATCCATTTGATTCTTTTAGGCTGTGAAAGTCTAGACAAAGGAAAAATCAGTATCACATGCCTGAGTCTTGTCACTTTGAAAGTACATGGAAATTCTAAAATAGAATGTTCTCGTCCATAGGGAGCAAAGATGCATTTCTTTTCTCATTGAAATGCATCTAGAAGGGAAAATATGGACACTTCTGATTCATGCATCTATTATCCATGTATCACCAACCAAGGGTGAAGAGGGGATCATTGAGCAAATGTTCAGCCAAGTTGGGGTCTCAATAGGCTCTTTGTAAGAGAATTACTGAGGCCTGGGGGTTCCTAGGAACTAGTCCCATTTCTGTGCAGGTGTCCAGCTATTTCCAATGCCGTCAATGGAACAATAAGAGGTGGACAGAAAAGCATCTCGGACACTGGCATTTTAGAAGTAGGAGAATGAAACAGACTGAGCTTTGCCCACAAGCTCGGAAAAGGGAGGGATTCCTGGTCAAATAAACCTCCTTAATTCTAGTGAGACGTCGGGTGGAATCTTGATGGCCTTGGTGCTCTTGTTAAATCAGACCATCATAAAACAGGAAATGGCTTCATGTGTTGCCACACAAGGGCTGAAATACAAGTCCGCGCCACCTCTGGGCCCTCGATTCCTTCCTAGCCTTATCCTTTCCCTCCATGGGGATGAGAAGGAACCTCCAGGAAGGTCTCTAGTTTTCTCAGGCTTTCTGAAGAAGCAGAATAATCAAGGCAGACAAATTCAACTAGTGTACGTTACCACTTCACCTTGTTCAGGTGTCATGTGGGGTCCTTTTAAACACCTAGATCACAGCTCACCCCCACTTTTCAAAGTTACTGACCACCCGAAAGATTAGCCTAATTCACATGGGGAGTTGGAAGGAGTGTAGGGGGAAGAGGCACTTACCTTTCAGGCAGCTTGAGTCTTCTCTCGGCTCAGGGCCCCTTCTCGGGCCAGAGGGGTGGTGCCTTCCAGCCTCCCTGCTCTGCGGGCTGCAGAGGGGCGGCTGTGGGCTTGAGCCTTGAGCTTCTGTGGGGTTTAAGCCTTTCCCCTCTCCCTTTATGGGATCCAAGGTTTTAAAGTAAACAGTTCTTTCTCTTTCTGATAAGTCACATTAAATCATCGATTCGGAGGGAGGGAGGGCATGACCTTAGCCCACTAAGTCATCGTCACCTTTGGTCCAGCACACTAAGCAAGACCAGAAAGCCTAGCATCCCCCCCCACCGCTGCTGTGTGGGGGTGCAGTGCAGGCAGACATGGAGGCCAACTGGTGGAGCAGGCAGTTGCTCCTGGTGAACACGATTCCCCCCAGAAACCCGGGTTTAAACGTGGTTAACTCTTTCCTTACAGAAAGACTACGGTTTATGACATTGTCACTTCCTCAGATTTCTAGACCCTGAAAAGTCACTTGGTCCTATGAACCTAATAAATTAAAAAATCCTTGGCTCATCCTACTTAAGGCTCTTGATCAATATCTGGAAGCCAATCTCATTGTCCTCTTGAGCCAACCATTTCTGACGTAGTTACAATCTGTTTATTTGTTCATGCCAACAATTATTTATTAAGTTCCTCCTTGCCTGCTCAGCTCTGGTAATGCAAAGGTGAGCAAGACAAGCGGAGTTTACAACTTAGTAGGAAAGGTGGATACATCCAAAAGCAACCACAGAAACAGCCATTGGAGAAGGCTGCCGCTGGTCCTAACTGTAGTCTCTCGGCTGCTATTATTTTTAATGTCTCTGATCATTTCTTTTTCTTCTGAGGCCACTTTGTCGTTTTGCTTTTCTTAAGCTTTGAAAGGGAGCTATCTGCTGTACTCCCTAGTAATAAATGCAATCTCAAGTGAGGTCTGGTTATCCTGGGCAAAGTCCATGGTGGTGAGAGGTGGGGGGCAGCCTTTAGCCGGGACTGTCATTTTGCTCTACATTTGCTCTTAGGTATCATGTTTCTTTTCAGGTGAACGTGGAAAGCAAATGTGCTGTGGCTTTTTCTTTTTCTTTCCCAAGAACTTCTAGCTGATCTCAAGAAATGAGCCCAAAGAGGTACTGCTATCTGGTGTCTGAATGCCTGTGGGAGACCCCTTTGTTGGTGGCCTCAGACCACCTGAGGTCATCCTGCAAACTCACCCCTTGAAAAGAGCAGGGGCTTCCCATGAGGGACTAGCTGTGGCCTTCCAAAGCCTGGCACATGCCTTTGGCGAGAGTCCAAATGTTCATCGTGAAATGGGGAAAAACATCTGGTTTTTTTTCAAAGGTGGTATTGCTGGAATGGCCTGTGGTAACTTCCTTTGTACATTTTTAAGCTGCTTCTCCTGGTTAAGGCAGACCTATTTCTTTTCAGAATTACTGTTGGTTTTTCTTCTTTAAAGTCACTCAGATTCCTGAGTCCACCATGGAGCTATTCTTTCAAAGGGCAGGACAAGTCCCTCCCACTCCCTGGCCTCACCGCGTGGATATCCGGGTCACTTTCATCAGCTTCCTTTGGTCTACAAAAGTTGATGCATTTTTGCCAAAATTTGCCCTTCTTTTGAAAAACCGTGATGAAGACAAATGTTCCATGTTCAAATGATTTCCTTTAAATCCCCAGCCATGGTACTACAAGGATTCTGAATGTCAGACAGAAGACCAGTCTTATCCTCTTTATAATCCTTAACAAACTTCCTCCAGCAAATCACACAGCCCCTACCTAAGCTGTCTTTAAAATGATCTTTTTAAAAACATTTTTTGTTTAAACCGAAGGGGATGCATTCTTTTAAGATAAGATAGATTTGAATCCTGCAAGGTTGAAGTTCAGTTTGGAACAGCTCAATCCCTGTTTGTCCTCAGATACAGGCTGCAAAACTGGGTCTCACAAACAGTAAAAAAACAAAAGCAGGTAACTTTCCACTGGTTGCAGCTGGAAGCAGGCCCTGCCCCTTGGGGGTGACTGACTGGTTTTCTCACCTTCCTGCCTGAGTTTCAGGCTTTCTGGAAAAATAAAAATAAAAACTATGTGGTGGTCAGTTCCAATGAAGAATGCCCGACTTTTGCCAGGAGGGAGGCAGGAATTTGGGAACTGGGAATCCGGGGCTCATTCGATATTATTTGCCATTTGGATTTTTGCCTTTGGACTTGACACATTATATTTCTGAGTCTTTCGTTTCCTCCCTGTGCAGTAAAGCTGAGAATGCTTGCTTGTCATTGGCTCTGAACCCTTAGGTGAAACAGGAGATGAATTCGTTTTTATTGATGAATACAGAAAAGCAAAGATGGACGTAGAGAAATTACAAAGGTCCTGAGCTGTATCGTCTAATTGGTTATTTATGGGACCGTAAAGGAAAAGAGACCACAGGAGTGGAGGTTAGCCCTCAAGGGTCAGGGCTGAGCACATGGGGACTGGAAGGAGGCTGACCCGCCATAGTCTCAGGTTTGCTATCAAGAGAATCAAAATCACTTTCACACCGATGTCCCAACCCAGGACTCAAGTGAAAACAGCATGTTGTCAGCTCGTCCTGGTTTCATCACTGTAGTCAGACACGTGTCACCTTCTCCCACTAAAGGTCCTGCTCTTATCCGTGGAAACAAGCTCAGAACACCGGTAGGCATGCGGGAAGCAGGGGCCTGACTTCTGGGGGTAAAGGGGAGCCCATCATGTGAATGAGCGGTAGGGGCCCTCTCCCCAAAGGCAGTTGAAACAAGCTGCAAACATTTTGTTACTTCTGCCAGCAACACTTCAGCATATATCCCCAAAGAAAAAGAGTTTTTTACTTAACTTGAGTATCATTGTCAGAGCTAAATTAACAGTAATTCCCTAATAGCATCTAATATTTAGCTCATTTTCAAATTTCCCAATTATCTCCAAAATATCTTTTAGAGTTGTTCTCCTCCTCTTCCTCCTCCTCCTCCTCCGTCTTCTTCTTTTTAAACTATCATCCAGTCAAGATTAATGCCTTGCATTTGGTTCTCCTTTCCTCCTTTTCTTTAAATGACAAAATTAGACTAGATTCTCTCTGGCACTCTGTCAAAATGTTATGTTTCCATCCTCGTTTTTCCAGAGCTAGGCCACTGCTCTGGGTTTCTAATGAGAGAACGCCTAGGATGCAGGCCCCTTAAACCTTCTGCCTGGCTTCCCGCTCCCTTCTGAAGATGAGCAAATACCCTAAGTAAATCGTTTTTAAAACATCAAATAAGAATCTCCAATCAATTCTCATTCGTTTACTCATTCGAGACATATTTGTTGAAGGCCACAATGTCCTTAGCGCTATATTGTGTAGTGGGTATATGCAAGAACAAAAACCAACCAACCAACCAACCCAACAACCAATACCACCAGACTGAAATGCCTTCTCTCATGAAGCTTACATCTGGAAGGAGGCAAGCCATAAACAAAGTAAATAAAGGAAGGCAGAGAAGGGGGTAGTGAGTTTGGGGGGAAGAATTCAAGTTAAAATAGTGGGACAGTCAGCCTCACTGAGGCATGGTTTGAGCAGGAAGTTAAAAAGTGAACCATGATGATACCAGGAGGAGGAACCCTGGAAACATGTCCCCTCTGCCTCTCTCTGGGTCCAGTGTTAGGCTGAGAAATGTGGGTACAAACCCTGGGTATGTGTTCCTCTTTTGTGCCCATCCCTGAGTGCATTTCTCATAGACCCCACTTAGATAGCAAGTTCTGTGTGCAATCCCCCCTCTTTACATCAAGTTAATTGATTTGCTATCTGTCCTGACTGCAGCTGCTTTGTTTCACTTTTGTTTTTAGAGGCGGGCAGAGAATGGAATCGGCATAGTGTTCGTCTTTTATTCCAGAGCCAGACTCCCAAATCCACTGAGCCAGGTGCCAAACCAGTTCTTTCATCAGGGGTCTTACTGTCACACCTGGGCTCCTGCGAGAGCATCCCGCTGTGCCCTTCATTCCTTTTCTACTGTTGTCCCTCCTGCCCTGCTTTCCTGTCACCTCCTAAGATTCAAACCTCAGGCTGAGGGCTTCATGTGGTTAAGACCAAATTCAGCTTTTTGCCAATAAAACAGGTCCTTCTATGAACGAGGAATTATGAAGCTCACTGAAAGATGGCTCTGCCCCAGCCTGCTCTATCCCTGCTTAACTGACCTAGGAACAAATTATTAATAATTGTCTTCAGCTGCTTTACTTGGTCTATGACAGGCAATCCTTTTGCACATTTCTCAGTAACAAAGTACAACACCCCTTCATCCACCTGTGAGTCTCTTCCTTCCTTGAGTCTGTAAAGCACTTGGCTGTTTCTTGCTTTGCAAGAAAATATAGGACTGTGATTGTTTCTCCAAGACAAAAAGAAAATTTGTATCATTAAAATCAAATTTAGTCTCTTCTATTTTGTTTTCATGCGTCTGCTTAGAAAATAACTTTTCATTTCAATGCTGAATCTTTGTGTAATCTTGGAAGACATTGTGGCAAACTCAAAATATGTTGTGCCAACAATGCAGGTAGCTCAGTTGAGGTGACATCAGGACCAGCAATGACTGAGGCATCCACCTAGTGAAAGTTTCTCATATCTGCCAGCTGGCCAACAGCAATCATGATGCCATTAATTCTAAAGTCATCCTAATTTCAGGGATGTTAAAACACAAGGGGGAAAGGTATGCTTTAATAGACAAAATGCAATTGTTTTGCAAAAATATGATAATTTAGCAACCTGTATTTTTTTTCATTCAGTAGTCTATCCTTAACACACTTTCAGGTCAAGGAATACCTGTATCAACACTCTTTAAAATAACTTTGGATTTTATTTTATTATGTTCTATTGACTGAATTTATTATTCACCTAAACCCTATTTGGAAGTAAGTTGGGTTCTCCTTTTTAAAAGCATTATTAACAATCATGCAAAGATACCTTTATATATAAATAATTGCACACATTTTTTTGTTTTGTTTTGTAATTTTTGAAGGACTTTGAACATATTGCGTTAACTTTTTAGTTTGGTACCAAGAAAAATGGGCAAAAGCTTTTTACCTGAGATCTTAAGTGTTAGAAAATGACCTTCCTCATTGTGGTATAGGGAAGTCAAATGCTACAACTAATACTTCCTCAGACCAAGAATATCACAAATCTTGTTA